TAACCCCAAATACTACCTAGTATGACGAAATATTTTCGTTTTCCTTTCTTCCACATCATTCCACCAGAAAAACCGAAGCCAGTCTCTATCTTGAGGCCTTACACTGATCTGTAAGAAAGCCTTTTCAATGTCTGCTATAGCAGCAAACTTGCCTTCCCGAAATCTCAACAAAAGAGATGGAATTAGTTCTATCAAATTTGGTCCACACTCCAAACACTGATTTAGAGAAGAGAGACGATTGTTTCCTCGCAGACGCATCAAACACCGGTCGAATTGGTGTTGAGCTATTTGTTTTTTTTTTCTTTGATCACCGGTCTATGCGGCAAATAATGTCCATAGTCAACCGCAATATTTTCTTTAACTTCTTCGATCACTCCTAAGTTACACCAGTCATTAAAAACTGCATTGTATGAAGAAAATAAATTTTGAGATAAAAGTTTCTGGGTGGTAGATTGTAGACGTTTCAAACGCTAAATCCTTGTGGGTGGAGAGTGGTACATGATTCTCTCCCGCCCACGGAAGTGCGACTTCATAACGCCCCTCTTCGTTTAGAGATACAGAATTTTCGAAACTGCAATTTTGCTTGCAAATCCCTTTCCTCTCTAGCCTTTTTTGTAACTGGATCTGTTATTCCGATAACATCAAGCCTCCACAGTTCTGACAGCGTGGCATCAGAAATATGTAAAGATAACGAAAGCGTGGAAAAGGAATTTTCTATTTCATAATGTCAGTCAGTGTTCGCTTTCCCCATGACTGTCCACCCAAGTCTTGTACTTACAGCAACTAATCTTCCCCAAGGAAGAACTTCGATTTTACCTGTAAATAAATTTGCAGCAACATCTGCCCCTAACAACAAATGAATCTCTTGGGGGTTCTCCTGGAATAATCTGCATTTCCATTTTCAAAAACATCACTGACGTAAATTCCTCTTCTTCTAAGTTCCCTAATCCAGTGTATATTTTTGATTTTAGGCACCGAAGAACATATTTTTCTTTCATCCAATACATTCATTTCGCAATTATACCGTTTATCTACGCTACCCAATTTTATTCTGTAACGTTTATGTTTTTTCCGAAACTTCTATGCCACCGAAAAGTCCGTGGGTTACACTTTGTTTACCTAAGCTTCTTAATTGTAACCTTTCTGCTGCATACCTGCTTATGTATGAGTTTTGACTTCCGGTGTCAATTATCGCTCGAACAAATTGGTCATTTCCTCTTCCATATATGCGAACAACTAAAGTTTGCAAATATACTTCTGAACATCCTGCTTGATTTGAAAGTACTTTATTTTCTATCTGTTCGTCTTTTTTAATTTCCGAAAACCTCGACAGAAGGATTTTGTTTATTACACATAATAGTTGCATGTTGTTTTTTACAAATAGAACAAGTTATTTTTGTTCTGCAGTTTTGAGCCAAATGGTGGTAATTTTAGGCATTTATAGCAAGCACATTTTCTTTTTAAAAATGTCCCTTTTTTCTTGTAATGATAAGCCGGAAACGAAACTACAGTCGTAATTCTTGTGGAATTGATTAGAAAATAGTACGCAATTCAAATTTTCCTCTCTGCGCTCGGATTTTGTAAACAAATCTGTAGCGGTCGGAATCTTTGGTTTTATTATGTCTATTTGAGAGACCATATGCGCTTTTCGTTGCAGGGGGGGGGAAGAAGACTGTCGCCGATCGGATATTTTTTGCTGTTGCGAAATCATTGACTTGTGGATTCGCGGGATGACAGTTCTGCGTGTAAAAATGACATTAAATCTTTTACGTTATAATCGGTGCCAACATTTTGTGTTCTATGAAATTCAAGCGTTAATTCTGAAGGCAATAACTTCAAAATCATCGGACACAGCAAAGCGCTGTTCGGATACAACATCCAACGCTTCGAGACATGTTATCGGTGTTTGTATTTTATCATAAAAATTACGAAATGTTTTTATGTCATTCGCATTTTTTAATGATTCAACATTCAGCAAATTCATTCATGTGCGCATTAATAAGAATGTCTCTCCTTCCAAAACGGTCGTGTAAGATTTGAATTGCTGAATCATAATGTTTTGGCGATAACGGAAGTCCTTGAACGCAACTAGCAGCTGTTCCTCCTAAATATGCTTTCAGGGTAATTAAATTTGTCTACTTTGTTCAATGATTCGTTATTATGTATTGAGAGGACTCAAAACTATTCCAAAAAGTAAGCCATTGTGACTACTCTGTTCCCATAAAATACGGGAATCGAAAGTTTTGGTAATTTAACATTAGGTGTATCTTTTATATTTTGCTGAGTGTTCGGTGCATTTAAGTCATTATCGTGGACCGAAACTACTGAAATCTTCGCACTAGGGTCATGATTAATTTCCTTAATCCGTTTCTGAATTCCGTTTAAGCCTGAATTTCCATAACGTTATCTTCTCGCGATATTGTTTCTGTAATTTCGAATTCATTTTCGAATTCATCTACACTCAGAATTGGTTCAACTTCCACATCGGCATTAGATAGTGTTTCGGTTTTAGCATTAAAGCTGTTCTAACAATTCTTCGAGCTCATTAATACTACCTTCAGATTTATTTAATTCACTTTCGATTTTCCTTAAATAGTTTTGTAACGGCAGTTTCTTAAGATACTTTCTTTTCTTTTTTAATTTATCTACTTTTTCCTCTGCCATTATCTTTCTTAGATTCAAACACTTACATAAAATACACGTCTCATGAAAAACAAATATTTAACTCTTACTTAGAAAACAAAATTATTCTTTCTGCTGAATACTTCAAGAACAAGTATTAAAATCTTCAATTTTAATATTCAGCTTTTGAATTCACTTTATTAGAACTTTTCAAAAAACCTGGCGTCCCTGTTCGGGCGCCATAAAAATGTTGCATCAGGTTCTTCTATTTACAATAAAATTAATGTAAAATTCCTTACCTGCTGCATCTTCAGTGTTCTCGACGCCAGGCTTCTAATAATCACGTTTTCCAGTAAGAGTTTCTATTACAATTAGCAGGCCATCTTGTCTTTTAATTATTTATTCAAAGAAAACGCTAATATACACTATTTACAAGGTAAGTGATAATTATTTTAAGACAGTACATTTTTAACTCTGAGTCTTTACGCTCCTCAAAGCGGTTCCAATCTCGACTGGTTCTCGAAACTTAATTACAGCAAAAGTAAAGGAAGAGATGCCCGCCATCTAGTGGCAAGAATGTGACACGCTGCATACCAAGCACTTCCTATTGCTGCTGCCCATTTAGAGCCGACCGTTATTAGAATTTTGATTCAAATTGTGATTTGTTAATAATCTGAAAAATTGTTGTCTGTCCGTCCTATAAGAAACAGTTAATTAGCTGTTTCTTATAGTCCTATAAGAAACAGTTAATTAATTCAAATTAATTTGTTAACGTTGTAATTATTGCATCTTTGAGCTAAAGTGATGATAAATGCTTTACTTTGCATTTCACTCTGTTATCAACATTTAAAATACTAAATTTTAAAGATAAAAATGGGTCTGTAGTTCATCCTGCAATCTAAGGGATCATCCTGCAGTCTAAATGAGAATAGGGTATAAATTAAACCAAATTGAGTTTAGCTTTACAGTTACAAATGTACATTACTCTCTTCAAGTGATTTAAATTAAAAAAGGATCTATATACAGAAACTTTACCTATATCCTCTTCAATGTATTCAAAACCAACATTCATAAAAAAAATTATGAGCGCGAAAACGAGCCATTTTTATTTTTAAGGAAAACAAGCCTGACGGTAAGTATCCGAAATTGCTCCGTCTCAATTACGGGTAAGTCGGCTTTTATCACACTCGGAATCCCATTTTGTTTCCATTGTTAAATGGATTCTTTTCTTAATCTCATTCGCAAACCTATGAATCTGCAGTAAAATTTTTGCGGTCCACTGTGTGCTCTTTCAAAATTATTATATTCCCCTTACATTAAAAACAAATTTCATTCAATTTAATATTTCTTAACATTCCATCTTATGTTTTGCTTATCTTAACATTTTTATTAATTTTCCAATTTATTATTTTTATGTAATATTCCATTTTATTAAACAATTCCATTTTCAATTAAACAATTCCATTTTCAATTAAACAATTCCATTTTCCATAATACTAACAATTTTATTTTATTAGAAAGTAAATTTAATTTTTAGTAATATTCATTTATTAAACAATTCCATTTTCAATGAAAACAATTTCCATTTTCAATAAAAATTCCTTTTCCATAGGGGGGGGGGGGGGGGGTGGGGGGGGTGGTGGGGGGGATACTTAACAATTTATTTTATTAGAAAGTAAATTTGAGGCAATTTAATATATTTTACTTTTGTTGCTTTATCATCCTAGATTACATATAATACCAGGATAGAGAATAAAGAATACTCGGAAATATCAGATTCCGCGGGGAGCGGGAAGAACTATTTTTAAAGTCCAAAAGTGAGAGTCCTAGCTTCATTAAACTGCACGTCCTCATACATTTCTCGACGATTCTTTTGAAATTCGTACATGCCTTTTGTAACAAGTTTAAAGAACATGTAACAAGTTTAAAGAACGGGGAGTGGGAACTTGTATAGAAAGAAGAGTTTTAAAAAATAAAAGAAAATAAATAAATAAATAAAACGAAACCATTTATCCCAGCTTTTGAAGTGAACCTTTCGCTTACCGAGACTTCGAGGAAACTTTTCAAGGTCGAATGCCTTAGAAAACGCCACTGGAATCGCAGATGCACGCCATTCGCAATCCACTGCAGAAGCTTATAAGAACTCTTGCTTTCCTTTCTCGCTGTTGCGATAATTTTTCGTAATTGATTTCATAAGCCGCCACTCCCTAGCTACAGGAAAAGTTTTCCAAATTAATCCGTTTCTAAATTGAGGAAATAAGTATTGATTATGGATATATTCGACGGTTGCCTGTGGTTTATTACGAACAGTAAATTGCAGTTTTTGGGTTGTTTGTTCACAATACTTAATTGCTTTTCTGCGACTTTCCGACCTATCCGCAGGCTCTATGATTGGATTAAATCCTGACGGGAAAATCCGTTGCACCGTTACCATGGAATGTGTCATTGTAAAAAAAAAAAAAAAAAAAAAAAAAAAAAAAACCGCTTTCCTCCTTTCCCCCCCCCCGAGATTTAATCCCTTATCTGTTTGTTACTTTGCTGCAGTTATGCTCATATTTTTGTATTTGTTTATTCTTTTCTCCTCTCTTGATATGCTCTATCTGTTACTTTGCAGTCCTAGATAAGAAACCAGTTGTACGAAATTAGCGTTTCCCATTTCATTAGGAATAGAAATAGGAAACAATGCCATTCCCTTTCACTCAGTCAAGTGAAAGTTTTATTTTTGAGAAATTTCATGTATTGCTCCCTGCCAGAAATTAGGTAGTTAGGCCTTTCAGAAATTTAATTTATTAAGTTGCCAGAAAAATTATAAGTTTGCTCGTGCGAAATATAAAAAGGAGCAATCGAGGAAGCTGTGATCCCTAAAGTATACTCGTAAAAAAGGAATTTATAAGTTACAATGCTGAAAATGGGATACTCTGCTCAGATGTTTGTGAATATCCTTAAGAATGCCTTTTTTTGCTTACCAATAGTCATTTATTTATACGTCCAAGCAATCTTTCGTAAAATGTTTTTTAGCCGTTTTAAGAAAAATATTGATTTAACGGACAAAACTATTCTGATTACTGGAGCCGGTAGTGGTGTGGGGAGATCCCTGGCTATCGAATTTTCGAAATTTTCTACTTGTCTTGTACTGGTGGATATTAACAAGTCTTCCCTGTTGGATACCGAGAAATTGCTGAACCGCATCTCTCGCGTTTTTGTGTACCAGTGCGATGTTTCGAAGCGTGAGGAAGTCTACAAGATGGCAAGAATAGTCAAAGACGAAGTTGGAAAAGTAGATATACTAATAAACAACGCAGGTATTGTCATCGGAAAACGTTTTCTAGATCTGCCGGATGAAGGAGTAGAAAAAACTTTTGCTGTCAACATCCTGTCACATTTTTGGGTAAGTTTACTTTATTTTCTTATTCCTTTTCTTTGTGTTTTGTATCTGTTACCGTGAAAAACCGAAATTGGAGAATGTCGACTTTCACCGGAGAATGTCAACATTCACCAAATACGTCGATGAAAGATCGAATATTGATTTTAAATTACTGTAATTCGGACTCACCGGTATGTCGACAATCACAGATGCTCTGGTGTAGGTCGAAAAGAGAGGAGTATATGTACACGCTGTCATGCAAAGGAAGTGTTCCAAATAATGCAGTGTAAAAGCAAGGGCTCTGTGCCATTCAAAGTGTCATAATAGTTTAAGTCGTTGCAATAATAAGATTTGAATCACAAATTTAGTAAGTTTTTAAACTTCTATTATTTTCCTTTCATTTTGAATGTACTGTGTGTTTTAAGTTCTTATATTCTTAAGTTCTATTTAAGTTTAAAGTTGCGTTTTTTCGCGGCTGAATTGACGGAGAAGAAAATTAATATTCTTATATGTTAACATTCACCATTAGTACATGATGAATGTCGACATGGACCGGTGTAAGTCAGAAATAAGGGTATTTGGAAAATATTTCGGCATACCCAAGCGACTATGTGAATGTTGACATCACCGGGTGTGAAAACATTCTCCAGATTTTGGTGTTTCACAGTAACATATCCATATTTTCCAAGCGGCATAATTTTGGGTATTATAAGAAAATAATATAAATTTGCTTGTCTGTACTTTTATTTATATACCATACTAAAAAATAATTTTTTAAAAATGAATTATGTTTTTATATTAATAATTTAAATGTATTTCGTATTTTTATAATAACGAAAACCTCGTGAGAGCTTTTAAATGTATGTTATTGCTATAACAAATTATTTGTACTGTTACCGTTTTATTTAATTTTAATCTCACACAAAACAGTCACTCAACCATTCTTCTACATTGTCGATTTCTTTTCATAATCATTTTATTGCTTTTAAGAACTCTGATGTAAGCTTCATTAATCCCATACAGATCTCATGTACTCCCCTTTAATCAATTATCCCCCCTTTATTATTATTATTATTATTATCACCTTTTTATACATATACTCGGAGAAGTGAATTTGTCATCATCCAACCTATGATCAGAAACTTCGAAAGAAACTTTTTCTGGTGTTTATTGTTTTCCGTACGTGGATTTTGTATCCTATCAAAATAGAAAGTATTGTAATTAGTGTGAAATATTGATGCAAGCTTCGTGTACAAGCGACCCAGTGAAATAACTGCATTGCTACATATTGAATAATTTAGTTTTTTCTTTATTAAGTAATTGAACAAGCCTCTGTGCAGCGTTAGTTTACGATGAAGAAATATTAAAGTAAATTTTTCCCCTTGTATTTAGTTTTGTAATACTAAGCAACTGCTTTTAAATACAAGATTTTTACGCTATATATTTAATGTCTAAGAGACTAATTCTTAAAACAGTAGGTCTCTCGTAACTACTTAGGTTTAAATGATTTCAAGCATTAAACTACAATCTGCACATCATGATCAGATTGCAGTTTCTTGTTAATCTTTTGAATTTTATATTTTAAATTTCTTAATTAGTTTAAAAAAACTTTTTTCACTTAAAAGATGAATTTTTGAGGTGCTGGACTACAGTCAAAAATTTTTGCTTTTTGCTTTTTTCTTTCTTTCTTTCTCTCTCTCTTTTTTTTTTTTTTGGGGGGGGGGGTTACTTCTTCTTATGTGATGCCATTTGAGAAATATAAATAAATATCTATATTTCTTTTATTTATAAACAGCAACAGAGAAATCCCCTTTAAAAAGGCAAATACTGAATTCATAGACTTCATAGCATTGTAAATACCAAAGTATTATTAAAACTGGCTGTTTCGCATTAGAAAGCAACGTAGTGTTACGATTTGGAAGATAGATCAAAGATAAGTCCGGCTAAAAAATAGAGTGACCTCAGAGGAGTTTTGCCGCCTTTTCCTTTAAAGCAGGATTTCAAACCCTTTTCTTGCATTTGCCCCGTTTAAAAGAATGGCTTTCTTCATAGACTCCCTCACATTTTTCTATATAGTATGCAGCAGAATGCATAACATAAATAATTTTGCCTAAATAACTTAAAGATAATAATTAAACTAAGAATATAAACAAAAATTTGGGGGGAAAATTGTTCATTAAATTTATACTTTATTATTTTCGTGCCATTATTTTTAATTTTATAAATAAAAACAAATTTTCAGACACAAAATCAGAGATATTCTAACTGCACAAAATTTCGAATTTAATTGATGTGATGGTTGCCACTGATATACCGATGCAATATTTTTAATATTCGGCATAAAATTGCTTAATTCTTAAATCACTTTGTTCAAGAATATTCAATCTGTTTCTTGTTTTCCGCAAATAATTAATGACTTTTATGTATACTTCAGTTACCAGAGGAAAAATCGGTAATGTTGGTCCGACAGTAAATTTTATTTTGGGGTGTTCCTCTCGAATGACTTTTAAATTCCAAATCTTAGCGTATCCATATGTTTTCTGTAAACGTGGACTTGAACATCCTTCTTCAGTGCAATCCAGGACAATTTTATATTCAATTCAAGTCATATCAAGAGCTTCCAGTTGAATTTTAGGCACTGCAACATGTTAAGTTTAATAAGCTTTAGTTTTGAGATATCATTCTGTCTGTATGCAACCATTATCGGTTATGATATAAATATTTTTAGAGTTCATGCAAGACAATGGAATTTTTTTATTTCCAATTACCTTATTGGCAACATATTCCCTTTTCAAGTTCGTCGAACAGCTCAGGACATCAATACCTCGTTTTTTTTACGTGTTAGAATAATGTTTAGACTTTTTCTATCTCTTTTAACCCTTTTTGTATGTAATGGCCAAACTAGATAAACGGTTTTTATCTAGTGCCCTGAAATTTTATGACCTTTTCAGATACGTCAGGTCATAAATGAATCTTCTTTGATACACTCTGGACTAATGCCATTGGTAATCTAAGAATCGGCTCACAATAAAAAAAATAAATATATTTTCTATGTATACTTTTAAAAAATCACCCATAAACGAATTGAATTCATATGTCGTCTCATATTTCAATTTAGGAACATTGTACACTATTTTTATTTATTTTTACATGTATGTATTACACATATATGTATTATGCATACATATAAATGTGATATTACACGTAAGTTTGAATGACTAGGCTGATTTAAAAATTATGAAATACAATAATGTTTATTATAAAAATTATTATTTCAAGAAAGAAATATTTCATTCTTTATGTTTTATTATTCCAAAAGATTTACATTTGACTTGTTTTAGACCAATTTCGTCTCCCCCCAAAATCAGCTGACCCGTGCAAATGCACGCGTTGCATAACTATTTAAAATCGGCCCTGCTGTTTAATGACACGTAAATTTATGGCGTAATCGTTTAACTGACTGACTTTTTTTTGTCTTTTCAGTTTGTCATTTTTTTAAACTTGTATGTATAATATACTTTACATTTAATTATTGGTTCGATGTTACGTTTCGAGTTGTCATTTATATAATTTGTCATATCTTAGATTTCTTTTGTGCGTTCAGTGTAGAACTCTGTAATTTATTTCAAGTGCTAATTTTTAAACTACATGAGATTTCTTCTAACAATTAGTAGCAGAATTTTACATCTTGGAATTTTTCCAAGTACATATCGTCATGCATATCATATGATTTTATACAGGTGAAAGAATTGGTGATCGAAAATTCCTTCGCATACAAAGGTACTATATGTTAACCAATTTTTATGATTTAAACTTTTAGTGTAACTTTTTTTGGTAGGACTCACCAGGATACAAATTAGATGGTAGAGTATCTAAGTTCAGAGCTTTTTGAATGTTTTAGATACAGGGATTTTGGCCGTGTTTGTGTTCTGTCGCGTTAGCTCAAAAGGACTGTTAGTCTCAAAACGCCATTTTGCGTCGAATCATTAAAAGCGTTCAATTACTTTTCAACTTGTTGCCACCAAATATTATCGACCTGTATTGTATTTAAAGAAACTAAAAAATGAAGAATATGTATGAATGTATATATGTTTCTCGCACTGTGAAGAAACAACGGTATCTAGACCTATCAAATTTTGAATAACGTTGTTCTGCACCCGAATATGGGCAGCTTTTGAATTTCGAATTGGTTTTATTATTTACTTCATATTTTGTAAAACTTTAAAGAAATTTTTATTTAAAAACTTAAAGATGCCAAAGCGAGCAGTCGCAACAATGTACGCGATAAAACATTTTTATCTCCAGCGCGTGGGACTAGCTATCGGAAATTCTAAAGATATGCTGTTTTTACATATTTTTAGCCCAAATGCTCTCGAAGAGTATATGTGTGCATATAAATGGAAAAAAACAGCCCCTTTGGACGTAATATAAAATGCGAAAGCTGGTTTTTTTTTTTTTTTTTTTTTTTTTTTTTAAAGAAAACACATAACACAATTTGTATGAACGAAATTGAAATTTAATTTGAGGGAAGAAAAATCTAGTACTAGTAATAAACTGTTTTGAAACAAATCATATTAAAATCTGTATATGATTTTTATAAATTTAAGCGCAATTTTCATGTATAAATGCATAAAGATTATATGTGCAGATATAAATTAAATCATATTCATGGACCCTCTGAGTTTTACCAAAATCAACTCACCAATAACGTTCTTAAAGACTCTAGACATCGTGGTAACTCTTTCGGAAAACTGAGTTAGAGTTAACATACCAAGAAACAAAAAAATATAACTTAATTAATAGCGATATTTCACAAATTACAAACACGAAATGGCAGATTAAGACTCATTTGAAGAATAAAGATAAAACTGTAAGATTTTATTTAAGCCGCAGAAAGTTTCGATCTTAAAGTTTTTAAGACTTAGAGATTTGGAATTTTTCCAAGTACATATCGTCATGCATATCATATGATTTTATACAGGTGAAAGAATTGGTGATCGAAAATTCCTTCGCATACAAAGGTA